AGCATAAGCGTTTCATTAAAAGATCACCTGGAAATGCAGAGGAATACCAGGCGTTGGTCAAAGATTGAGCGATGGTAGGGCATGCTCTAGACACTGTGCATAGAATAATTTTAGAAACTGTGGACATGCTGAGACAGAGTTTAAGGTTCACCCCACAGCTACTGGTGGCCGAGGCGGTGGAGATCGCCAAGCATCCGAGTGTGAATAGAACAGAGGGGTAGAACTTCCAAACGTTTGGAGAGCGGTCCCAGATTAGCCGAGACGACACCAGGCGGTGTGCAATTATCAGCGAAATCGCCTGGGTCTAAAAGTACGAAATCCAAGTAGAGTTATATCCAATTAACCACCTCACCCCCATTCCCATACCAATTGTCCCAGCACCCTTGGACGAGCACATGTGAACTGAATCTGTGAACGAACCCAAGAAGAAAAATCCATTAAGGGGTCCAAGACTGAACAAGCGAGGACGAAAAAAATCCGGGTTCATCATAAAGACGGATCGCCCCCTAACCAATCAATCGTAAACCTTAGTCATCCCCACGTATCAACAAACAGGAAAATCAGACTGAACATCAGACTGAACCAGCACTGATCACGTCACCAGTATTACGGAATCGCACGGATTTGTTCCCCGACTGCCATGAAAGCCAATCAACCTACATACTTACTCACTCGGCCTGACGAAGCTTTTGCGTCAAAAGCAAAACGTTGCCCAAAAATAAATCAACCGATTGTTTACCAAACCCCTCTGAATCTAGATTTCCTCCTTGGCGCCTCGTCATTCTGTTATAAAACTTTTAGCTCTCACATACTTTCCGTCTTTCAGACTGCGTAATTCACTTTGGTGAACTTTGCTTGACTCGACGATTTTTGACTCCAGCTATGCAGAACCCATCATTTTCTTCCAAAGAGTGATTGGTTAAATCACCTGAAAGTTATTATCACGGTCTGTTTGGTCACATGCGTATTTCTCAAGTTTAACTCTCCTGGATATGCTTTCGCACCTGAGTATTAAAACAAGACGTGTTCGTCAAAAAAGTACGTCCATAAAATATCCTTCCCAACCAATATATCTATAGATATTTTGCGCTCCAGATATCATCATAAAATGGTTGGAACAGCTTATCATATCCATCTTTTGATTTTCGTTTTTGCGCTAGATACTAGGATTTCTGTGTAGTCTGATTTCGGTCCCCTACATACTTCCTCAAAAATGGGTAGGAACTTCTTCCGATTATATTCATTATCAACAAAGCTGTGATGACTAAGGTTTGATATCATATCCTTTTGTCAAGATACATGAGAGTTTCCCAAGAGTTTGTCTTTTTTCTTAAAGAAATTAGACCGAACAAGGTTTTGAGCGTATTCTTAGGAAGAGTTCTTCGAGACGGCATCTCTAGAGGAATGTGGAGCACGTTTTTCAAGAACTTTCCAATCCCGCGAACTTGAGACTCAGCATTTAGACAGATGGTAAACAAAAGGCACCAAACACAAAAAGTGTTAAACACGCACAAGTTTGCAGCGGTTTCTGGTTTATTTTTTAAGCTATGCCTTACAAATTTTCATTATTCAACAATCACTTACTCCGATCCTAGACATTTACCCCGTAATACTATACATTTTGGACACCAAGGACGTTCCAGGGCCAGGTCAGACGAAATACTTACGGAACGAACCGGTTGACCAGGATAGGGATAATCTTTCAATCGTTTAATTTTAAGGATTATTCCAGAAGGATTATTCCAAAAGTTTGCTTCAGACTTGTGAAACACCCCGAGCCAGACAGATTGCTCAACCTTGCGTACTTTTTATTTGTGGACTTAAAATCATTTCCTTCATTCCTTTGTTAGCATTTCGAGCTGGTAACATGGATGAGTCAATTGGTTTCCAGCATGGAATATGCTTGAATATGATGGTGACAGCATGATGGTAGACAGCATGAGATTAGTGTTCAATAATAATGCTTCGCTGTCTATGTTAGGTGTGCCCGCTACAATTCCGTATTTGCATTGCACGAAGTTGCCGGATATAAACGAGTGATGAAGCACAACGTACGTTTGTCAGTCAATTTGTCAATTCAGTTAAATGAAAATCACATCATAATCATTCTAGAGTGCTCCCACAGACGCACACCACCGGAATGATTAGCCTCGAAAAGCCCGGAATAGCGGCCTCAAAGGCATGAATTGGGCACATTCTATAAGCTTTCCAGATTGCTGAAAGACTGAATCCAATCGCAGGCGTACTATGATGTTATGTATTTGTTTGTTAGGCAACAGCTGCGCACCAAATCGGAGAATCTCATCAACCAAGCGGATACTGGCATTCACAAAGGTGACGTCATTTTACTTTGTTTATTGTATTGCTCTTCAAATCACCGAAATCCACACTCTGATTTCGATTCGTTGTCACAAATGTAGCTTGAACAATCAATCACTTTGACGTTTTTCAAAAATCACTTTTAGGAATCCCCTTATTGTCCCTTTCCGTCATCAACGAATTCGTTTTCCTACGGCATGTGGATTGGAGTTGCCCATATCAGAGATGTCCGTCGTTTGACGGCACTAGAAAAGATGGTCTAACCTAATGTTCTAACCCGAAAAAGTGACACATTTTCACTACTGAGCGATACGATTTTTGAGTCAGATTGTTAACGCGGAGAACATTGCAAAACGTGCGTTTGAATGAAGCCAGCTAGTGTCATTGTTTGCCTTACATCAGCCATTCGCAGAGCCTTAATGTTAACAATAAGCCAGCTGAAGTCTGAGGAACTTAAAAGCCCTGTGTGACAAAGTGGTCGTAACTTAAGGGTTAATACCGAAAGCTGGGAGAAAAGCGTGCCGTGCGACTAAAAATAGCCTCCGAGGGCTGACATGTTGATGGAGGACCCAGAATCGCAACGTCGGATCTACTTGATCCAGTACTAACTCAACCAAGAAAGCTTAACCATGTTTGCCTGCTTCTATATAATTTTGGAAAGAAGGTCCCATTTCAAAAACAAAGAACAATGTGGGCAATGACAGTCGTTTGCAAGTGGAATTGGTGCTAATTTGAACCTCAAACTAAACCCTCGTTAATGATATTCACACAAGTTTGTGATAAACTCGCGAAAAAAAATGTATTTTGCGAGCCTCAAGTAGAGCAAAACCCGCTGTTATCTGTTGAATAACTTTTAGCAACTTTGTACTGCGTAAAAAAATGTTGAAATTTACTTCGTAGACTTCTGAAATAGATTGATATCTTTCGCCTAGTTTGCAAGTTTTTGCAATCCAAATTCTTTACAAACAGTGACAGTTGCATTATTTTACGCGCAAACCAAATCGAACAGCCGGCTGAATGAATATCATGCTGTTTCTGAGCGATTTTTGGTAGAATTAAAAAGCTGACTACTGTATAAATTTCAAAAATTCCAAACAGAATTTAGATCGGCTCTAAAAGCTTTGGGAACAGGAGGGGCACGCACTTTTGTCCGCTAGTCGTTTGGTAATCAGAAAATTGCATTTATTTTAAGTTGTTCTGAAATGTACGCATTCACCTCAGGTGCCACCCGAATTAGTCAGTCAGTCAGCCAGTTTTCCCTGAGTCTGTTGACACATGTAAGGAAATACTCGGCAGAGTGGTGTGTACCCAAATTTCTAACACCTGTATGTTTCATAACCAGTGTTGTTATGATATCCAACCTTCAGTAAGCAGGAAAACTAAAATGCACTTTCATTTTGAGTGGTGAGCGATCAGTGAATCGGTTTTCGGTACTAAATGTCTAGTGGCACGGTTTCCTTCTCTTCAGACACTGGTGCGTAATATGGTTTGAAGGAAGGTAACTGCAGCGTCCTATGCTTTACTGGAAGTGGCAAATGCCAAATCAGCAACTAATACATGACAACAAATATAATTCCTTTGGCTAACTTAAGACAAACGGAGACGAACACAGTCGGTGTTAACATCAAATTAAAAAAATTACCCACTCTTTTGAACGAATAGACCTGTCGAGATCGAATAACTAACGTACGTGCCTGGCAACTCTCCCAATATTTTATGAGACCGAAGATACGATGCTTTACCCAGAATTTTACTTTGTATCAGTCTGTGCACACGTCTGTGTGTTCCCAACCTAACCTAAGTACGTTTAGGACGAGTACATTGGCTGATCCAACATGGAATGGAAAACCGAAGCAAACATTTCCGAACGATTGTTTGGTAGACCTGTCTGTCCCATCGAAAGCTCTCACATTCATCTGCACAAGATTCGATGGGCACAAAGTTGAAAGGAAACTGGTACAGTGCTTTCCGTGCCAATGATTGTAGCCGTACGATATCACACAAGCACAATCCGAGAGGTCTCATAATTCTAGCGAAATAGAAATGCATTATTCTCAGGAATTTTCGACCAAAACAAGCCGAAGAATACCTCAATAAAAGCAATTCCCGTGGTCTAATCTACTTCTTGTAAGATCAGTACTACTGACATTTGAAAACGCAGGACAATCGAAGCATTGTTTTATAATACTGCTGGTTGCCAGTTCAACTGATGGTAACGGTAATTATCACACATTTTACTGAAATTCATCTAATTTTGTATCTCAGATTCAGTGTAAGTAATTTCTTCTTGTCATGAAAAAAAGCTCTCATAAATTTGTTTAAAACTTTCCGACTGTTCATGACCGGTTTATTGCTTCCATGACACAGCCTGCGAGACTCCCCTGTCTCACTTTTGTTCTACATGAAGCCGGAATGCGGGAATTTTGAAATACAAACTCAGTTGCGGACCACTTTGTTTTTTTCGAACGACTCTAGTTTCATCCAGTTGAAGCTCTCATTTATGGTATTCTTTATTAGTAGAATCCAATTTTTAGTATTTATGTAGGACAGTGTGCGCGAAAAGACTAAAACATATGTACGCATGTGTTCATCCGTTTGCGTACTTCACTAATCACCAGAGCCAGTGGGTATGTTATGTTAACAATAAGCCAGCTGAAGTCTGAGGAACTTAAAAGCCCTGTGTGACAAAGTGGTCGTAACTTAAGGGTTAATACCGAAAGCTGGGAGAAAAGCGTGCGACTATTGCCAGAATAGCCTCCACTTTGTGTAAGCAGACCGCCGCAAATATCTCTTTACTCTGTCTTTGGTGTTCAATGATCTGAAGGCTAAATGACAGTCTCATCAGAACAAGATGGGAGAAAATTATTCACAACACACATTTTCTCGACGTCGCCTGTCCCTGTAAGCCTGACGTTCTCGAGAAAGACTCCATTCTATTCATCGAAGCTTATCAGCTAGTAAGGTATGCACATGGGAGATTGAACATCGAGGAGGTGACTTCAATTTCTCCCGACCGTGGTGCCAGAAACCGGTGGATGCATCACGAAAACCAATGCAAATGCAAGATTCACTATTTAACTACTTTTTCTGGAGAATTGAAGGGAATTTATTTTCTAAATGGTATTCCAGTAGA